TATCTTCAATATTAGGTTCAAAAAGGTCAGTGGCAATATAAAACATTAAAAAAATGTTTAGCTGATTCCTGGGGAGAAATACTATTGTTTATTATTATTATTATTGTGAACTCTCAAACTACTGTGGACAGCAAAATAGCTGAAGTTTCTAGCTATAGCCTTTTACACCCATGTCACAGATTTAGAATCTGCAGATGTCAGGATTACTAAATAATGGAAGTCTTACTTCATATGAGACACTGTAGAATTTATGTTCCCTTTCCATCCGTTTATTTTATGTCCATGTATATAATTTTCAAGGAATTTTTAACAAGATGCAGTTTCTCTTTGTAATATTTTTAGGGAAAAACAATAACAAAAAAACACTTCTCCATCTTGACACATATTACACAGACCCTTTCATTGATTACCTTTATTTACAGTAACTTTATCTCATACAGGGCTTCTCAAGGGTTTTCAAAGTATACACGATGATAAATTAAACAACAGTTTCCCCTGTGCTCTAGTGTCTCTCAGATAGATTTGTTTTTCTTTTGAAGGAGATCTCTAAATTCTGTTTGCTGATGGATGGTATATACCAGGGGTGGCCAAACTTACTGACCCTTTGAGATGCATACAACCATCTTCAGAAGAAGTTCAAGAGCTGGGGTGCACCTGCTGGGGCTCGGGGCTTCAGCACTGCTCCAGCTGAAGCCCCAACCTCCAGCAGGCGCCTCCTACGGGACTGAAGCCCTGAGACCACCCCCATCCTTGTTGGGCAGAAGAAGCCACAAGCCCCATCACCCCCCACTGCAGGGCAGAAGCCCTGAGCTCCCCCAGTCTGCTAGGTGGAAAATGGGGGAGGGCATATGGGCTCCGCGAGCCACACTTTAAACTGTGAAAGAGCCACATGTGGCTCATGAGCTGTAGTTTGGCTACCCCTGGTATGTACATAGCAGGAAAGTGAAGGAAAATAAATGTATTTAACACAGATTTAATACAATCCAGTACTGTATTTACATCACTCATGCTGTACTTGCAGATTGGGAAGTACTTTTGGTGCCTTCAGTAAGGGATGCATCAGATTACTGGGCTCCCAGACATATAGTATGTATATAGTCAAGATGCTCTCTAATGTAGTGGTGCTTTTGGTTATGGACTTGGTGTCAAGTCAGAGTAACCACTCTGATTTTGCTGTCTGTGGCCTATTTATATATTACAGTAGCATCAAGGAATCCTAATCAAGGAACAGGCACTATACAAAGAAGTAACAAAGACGACAGTCCCTTCCCCCAGAGTTCACAATCTAGGATACAGAGAGTAGAGGATGCACCTGACAGATGAAATAAACAAATTGGGTAAGGGTAGTTTGATAGATAAGATAACACAGAGTTTAAAAGAAAAGCAGAAGTCTTATCTCAACACTTGCCTAACGATTTCCTTTCCAATGATGGGAAACTTTAAAGTAGTATTTTTATTTATTTATTTATTTATTTATTTTAAATCAATGTTCCCATTGGGTACAGGTCCTTTGTAATCCAGGCTTATTCCTCTTGGTCTTCTCAGATAACTGTGTTTTCCATAAAGTGAAAAATGTCTAAGGCTCCATAGTGCAAAGACTTAAGCACATCCTTACATTGAAATCAAAGAGACTATAAATATTAATGAAGTTAACATTTGACAGCTTGGGGCCTAAACTCCTACTGCGATATAAACCAGTGTTCCTCAACCTTTTTGATACTGGGGACTGGCTTGCTGCCTTCCTAAACTGTGTCAGGGAAATCTGAGGCCTGGCAAGGAGGCTGCAATGCACCGGTCGCTGAAAACATTGGTATAGATCATCTGGGGGAAGTTTGAATCTTGTCTAAAGCTGGTCTATACCTAAGATTTAGGTCAACCTACACACATTGCTCAGGGCTGTAAAAAATTTAATGCCTCATGCATCAGTTAGGTTGACCTAATCCCCATTGTAGATGCAGCTAGGTTGATGAAAAGAATTCTTCCATCAATCTAGCTACTGTCTCTTGAGAAGGTGGATTTACCATAGCAGTGGAAAACCCCCTCCTGTCACTGTAGTGTCTACACTACACTGGCATAACTGCAGCTGTAGCCCAGTAGCACAGACATACCCTCATCTGTAAGTCCAGCAAGCTACAATATTACCTTTCTTGGACAGTAAGCCTGAATCACTTATGAGGCAGTTTAGGAGCATTTAGGTTAGATTTCCTACACTTCTTATATGTTGACTATGAGCCTTAGCAAGGTGAAAGGAAATGAAGGCTTATGTATTTTCACCATTCAACTAACGTGGCTGTAGTTTTCAGTGATTAATAAAAGTCACTACATCCTGAAGACAGAGCTCTGACCTTGATATCAACAGCAGGGACAGTCACTAACAGTAGAGCTGGTCTCAGGGTGTGGGACATACAGAACTCACTGAGACATTCCGAGTTTTCATGAACACCCTTAAAGGGGCATTTTGAGGCATCATCACATTGCATCCCGACATTGTCAATTCCACAACACCAGTTTGACCAGTGTAGCTTGGATCAACATAATAATCACAAAAAAGGATTCTGTAGTTAAGAACGGCCATACTGGGTGAGACCAATGGTCCATCTAGCCCAGTATCCTGTCTTCAGACAGTGGCTAGTGCCAGGTGCTTCAGCGGGAATGAACAAAACAAGCAATCATCAAGTGATCCATCTCCTGTCGTTCACTCCCAGCTTCTGGAAGAGGCTAGGGACACTCAATGCATGGTGTTGCATCCCTGCCCATCATGGCTAATAGCCATTGAGGGACTTATCCTCCAGGAACTCATGTAGTTCTTTTTGAACCCTGTTATAATTTTGGCCTTCACAACATCCCCTGGCATGAAGTTCCACAGGTTGACTGTGCACTGTGTGAAGAACTTCTGTTTGTTTTAAACCTGCCACCTATTAATTTGAATGCTGCCAATTTCTTGTGTTATGTGAAGGAATTAAATTCCTTATTCACTTTCTCCACACCAGTCAAGATTTTATAGACCTCTATCATATCCCCCCCTTAGTCATCTCTTCCAAGCTGAATAGTCCCAGTCTTTTTACTCTCTCCTCATTCAGAAGCTGTTCCATACCCTCTAATCATTTTTCTCTGTACCTTTTCCAATTCCAATATATCCTTTTTTAAGATGGGTTGGGGATGGGCAGAGGGACACCAGATCCGCACCTAGCATTCAAGATGTGAATGTATATGATGTATATATTTCTTTAGGTTATAGCATTTTTCATCTGGAGGTCCAAAAAGGCTTCCTAATATTAAGTCTCACAATCCTTGAGTGAGGTAAATGTCATTTTCAAGTCAGAGAAATCAAGGCACAGAGCAATCGTTTTGCTTGACAATTTTCCAGAGCAGGGATGGTTTATCAACGTTTATACAGCACTAACTAAAATGGGGCTCCAGTCCTCTCTAGGGCCCTTAGATAATACTGCAATGCAAATGTTCATTGTTATCATCACCAGCATCAACAAGTAGAATAAAGTGGCTTACCAAAAGTCACAGAGCAAGTAAACAACAAAGGCTGGAAAAAAATCCCTACTCACTGGCCTATACTCTATTCCAGGGCTATAGAGTTTGAGAATGCGGCTGTACCCCAACATAACATAAGGGCGGCCTTGGTGAGGTTTGTGCCATCAAACCTTCTGAGCCAGGCTACAGAACTGGGGTATGCAACCTGCGGTGCGCAAGCTGATTTTCACACTGCCTGGGTCCTGGCCACCGGTCCGGGGGGCTCTGCATTTTAATTTAATTTTAAATGAAGCTTCTTAAACATTTTAAAAACCTTATTTACTTTACATACAACAATAGTTTAGTTATATATTACAGACTTATCAAAAGAGACCTTCTAAAAACATTAAAATGTATTATTGAAAGGCAAAACCTTAAATTAGAGTGAATAAATGAAGACTTGGCACACCGCTTCTGAAAGGTTGCCGACCGCTGCTATAGAATCCTGAGTTCAAACAGTTTGCGTACCATCATTTGCACAATCTGTGGGTGTGCACCACCACTGCCCCCCTCTGGCAGCAAAGGCTTGCTCCAAAGTGGTGGGATCCACACCTTGTCCTTATCTGAAGAGTGCCCTCCCCCCAGTCTTACCTTCTTGACAGCCTTGGACCGCGAGACGCCCGGCAGCCCCACGTCGTGTTTGGTTCTCCTCCCCAAGATATTGAACTTCTGCTTGTTGACCTTCACTTCAAAAGGGTTGTTCTTGACCAACGCTGTCCCTGCCCCACTGGGGCCCTTGGCCCTGGCAGCCACTTGGCCCTTTCTCCTCTGCTTAGTTGGTTTCCCCATCCTAGTGTGTGGTTGGGGTCAATACTCACTCAGCAGCATAAAGAACCAGGACTACGGTCTTGTACAGGCTCCTGAGCTAGAGGGAATGGGCCTGGGAAGCGAGCCACGCTAAACAAAATGGCGACCGGGGGGGGGCGACCTTAAACTGCCCCACGCTGCCCCCTGCTGTCTGAACGCACCACCTCGCGCGAGAGCCTTTAATTATCGTGAGATCTAAAGGGGCGACCAGGGTCCCTAATAAGCCTGTCCAGCGTCTCTACTGACTACCACTCATATTGCGTACAGAGTAAGCTAAGCAGCAACGCGGCCACACCTCTCGCGAGAGGTGACCCCGACATCCCGCGGGACTTAGTGATAGTAGCGGCTAGGCTCTGTAGGAGAAGAGATCGGAGCGGTATGAACTACATGACTATATATCCCGGCATGCAATGCTCCACCCTTGCGGGTGAGAGGTGAGGGACTATCAATCCCAGCAGGGAACACCGCACCGAGCGCGCGTGCTTACTACTCTTAGCTACCAATGAGCCAGCTTTGACGCAAGAGGTCGCCGGGCCGGGGGAGCGCATTGCCTGCTGGGTGCTGTAGTCTTCGGGGCGGAGCTGTAAGGGGCGAGAGGCGGGGGAGCGCGGCATAGTCCTGCCCAGTGTGGGCAGGCCCCGCCTCGCCCGTCCCCTTTCTCCGCCCCTTGGCAGAGGAGGGAGGGGGCGGTGAGTGAGTGAGGAGTGAGTGATGGGGGAGAGGAGAGCCCGGCAGTAGCCCTCGGGGGCCGGATGAGTGGAGCCCGGGTGTCCCGGCGGTGGCGGGGCAGGAGGAGGGGGCGAAGGAGGTGGTGGCTCTGAGGGGACAGAGGGCTTGGTTGGAGCCCTGATCATGGAGATCGAGAACATCGTGGCCAACACGGTGCTGCTGAAAGCCAGGGAAGGTGAGCGCAGGGGAGGGGGCGAAGAAGGGACGCGTGCGTGCCGAGGAGGGGCTCTGAGGGGACCGGGTGCTGGGGGAGGAGGGGGCGCTGGGAAATGACCGGGGCAAGAGGGGAGGATTTGGAGTGAGAAGAGAGGGAGGCGGCAGAGGGGAGCACAGTGCCAGGGGAAGAGGAGAGATGGGGACTGAGGAGAGAAGGTTTGGGGAAGGGGGGGACTAGCAGGGGGTAGGGAGCGGAGGGGTTGGAAAGAGAAGCCGGGGCTGGACGAGGAGGAATGGCAAGGGAATGAGGGTGGGGAAAGGAACCAGCGAGTGGATAACGGGGGTGAAGGCAAGATGTGGGGGTGACGGGGGTCGCTGTCAGGGCTAGGGAGCGCCGTGAACGGAGAGGAGAGCTTGTTCCTTAACTTCACCAAGGTAGGATGTAAACATGCAAATAACAGAGGCACCTGCCAAAGCTCCCTTGTTTGGGATTAATCGTAAACAGTTTTTAATGTTTCTTCGCTCTCCCGCTTCCCTGGGTGCAAATGACTTTGCCGGATGTTTCAGAGAGAGATTTAACCGTATTCTTTAATTCAAAAAGTGACTATGGGAAGGTGGGTTACTAGCAGGAGGACACTCCCTATTCAACTGAAATAGGCTCTAACTCTGTCAAAAACTTTAAGAAGCGTTTGCCTTGTCCTCAAAATCCCTGGCAACGTAAAAAGTAACTGATGAATGCCGCCTGCATTCAACTACTTTCAGGTTGAGTGTCTTACATTGCTTGGTATGAAAGTGTCAGACTGTATAACTGCAGAAAGTCTCCTAACTTTGAGATGGCTTCTCCAATGAGCAACCATATTTTAAATAAGTCTGAAATCTTGTTCTCTCAAATCGTTTTTTTTTTTCTGAACGCACAGTTGCATAAGTGGCTACATGAAAGCCTCCCCAGACTTGCATAAGTGGCTGCATAAAAGCTTTCAGACTACCCTCTGCTCTTAGTAGATCCTTGCTCTGAGCTCCACTGTTCTTCTTCTCTTTGGACCTGATCCTCCTACTTTTAATTGCATTGGGTAGCTTACTGAGTAGTCCCACTGATTTCAGTGGGATGACTCAAAGTGAGTAAGGGTGGAGGAATCTGGCCCTATAAGTTTTGCAAGTCACTCCCACTCTAAATAGGTTTGGCATGTATACTGTATGTGTATCCGGTGAAATCTGTCTTAAGCTGCCTGAACCAAAAAATTTAAAAAAAATCAGTCTTCAGCTTTGAAATTGGGCTTAGAAAATAGAATAATGATCACAATGTTGATACATCTCCCAATGTTAGTTAAAAAGACCGCCTCAGTCTAGATGAGTGATTTAGTTCCACTTACAATATACATCTGTGGTGTTGCAGCCTGGGTTTGGAGTTTGCATTGGAATGATCTAAGAAATGGGGAGAGTGTGGGCAGCACATGGCCACAGTAGAGCTTGGAGCCAGGTCCCACTAAGGATAGAGTGGTAACTGGGAATACTTTCAAGTGGCTGCTTAACATAGGGTTGCCTCCTTAGTTTAGATTCCACTATATATAGAATAAATTATGATGGTATGACTGACCAAAATGAGAGTTTTTACTGTACTCTCAGATGTATAAGCAAAAAGAACGAGGAGTACTTGTGGCACCTTAGAGACTAACAGATTAATTTGGGCATAAGCTTTCATGGGCTAAAACCCACTTCAACAGATGCATGCAGTGGAAAATACAGTAGGAAGATATATATATACACTGAGAACATGAAAAAATGGGTATTGCCATACCAACTCTAATGAGACTAATCAATTAAGGTGGGATATTATCAGCAGGAGAAAAAAAACTTTTGTAGTGATAATCAGGATGGCCCATTTCAAACAGTTGACAAAAAGGTATGAGTAACAGTAGGGGAAAAATTAGCCTGGGGAAATAGTTTTTACTTTATGTAATGACCCATCCACTCCTAGTCTTTATTCAAGCCTCAGATGTATAGTTTGACAGCAGCTGGCTTGATATGACCAGTCGTACCCAAGATTAAATTTATTGTGAGTAGTAATGACAGTGTGTAAACATTATGTTTCTATCTTTCTCCCTTTTCTCCTTAGATAGATATGAGAAAGTACAACATATTTTGGCTTGGAATCCTAATCACTTGATTAGTGGGGGGTGTCTTATCTTCGGGTCTTTTAGGTCTCTGTCCTGGAGGCATCCTGATGTGTCTTACATTTTTCAAAGTGCTGCTCAAACAGTAATGTTTTTGCCACATGTGGAGTGCACTCATTGGTCCTGGAAAGATCTCTTTCACTGCTTTAAACAGGAACAGGGCCAGCTCCAGGCACCAGCGGAGGAAGCATGTGCCTGGGGCGGCACATGCTAAGGGGCGGCATTCCGTCCATTCTTGGGGTGGCACAGTCCGGGCAGCTTTTTTTTTTTGCTTGGTGCGGCAAAAATGCTAGAGCCGGCCCTGATCAGGAACACCCCACATCAGCTTAGTTGCTGTCCCCTTTATCCTGAGTTAGTGTGAGGGCTGTGAGTGCATGAAACTGACTCAGATATTGTGATGATGCATGCATAAGAAATAGAGTAACTGTTCACTTGGAGAGAGCTGGACAGGTGAGGCAAAAACCATCCAGATCTCTGAGACATCCTCTCCTTCCCCACTGCCGTTTTTCTCATCTCTCATTGCATAGTGTGAAGGGGCAGGAGAGACTAGGGAAGTGCATAGTTGCTGCTTCTTACATAAAGGGTCAAATCCTCAGTTGGTCTAAAGCAGCATAGCTCCAAGGATCTTGCAGATAATGTTGGAGTACATCAATAATTCATCCTATGAAATGGGGAAATTGCATGAGGTTGGATAGGAGCAGGTTAAATTACTTTTATTAGAGCATAAATATTTCACTTGAATTTGCTAATTATTTTTCCTACTCTACTGTGCTCTTGTGAAAAGTTAAACCCATTTCCACTTCCCAAAGCCATGATAGCGGAAAAAGGACTATGTTCTCAATTATGGACTGCACAGCTCTTCTAACTTGAGACTTTCTCATGACACAGATGGGGGTAGGCAAAATATTAATCTTAAAAGCACTTTACAGACACTAATCCTTCACATCCTTGTGAGGTAGATGGCTATTATCCGCATTTCACAGATAAGGAAATTGAAACAGAGGTGTTGCGTGCCTTGCTCAGATCCATAGAAAATGTCTACTTCAAAGCATTCGTTAAAATTCAGGAGTTCCTGACTCTCAGGCTTTGTCTATACTAGCACTTTTGTTAGTCAAGGGTGTGAAAAAAACACACCCCTGACTGCTAGAAGTTTCATCTGCAAAAGTGCTGGTGTGGACATCATTATATCGGTGGGAGAGCATCTCCTGCTGACATAGCTCCCGCTGCTTGTTGGGGGTGGTTCAGTAATGTTGGTGGGAATGAGCTCTCCCGCCGGCATAGAGCGGCTGCACAGGAGACCCTATAGCAGTGCAGCTGCAGCGGTTCAGCTGCGCTGCTGTAGGGTCCATAGCATAGACGTAGCCTTAGATGCTAAATCAGATCACTAGACCATGCTTCATGCTGGCTTGAAACTATCAGATCTTGTGACTTCTAAGAATGACTTCAAACAAAATAACTTCTGAATTCTTGCCTCTTTTTTGTTTGGCTGGCCCTAATGATGTTGGCAGTTGATAGTACAAAAGTACTGCCAATTGTTTGCCAAATAAGTGTAAAGTGTTTCTGCTGCTATGTTGACAATCTAGAAGAGATGTGTGGGTATGGAAACACTTGCTGCTTAAAGTATGGTTTGCTTTAATGAATCAGAAGGAATAATTTAAAATATAAAATCAAATTAACTGAATTTTAGTTAAACTCTCAATTATCCCAGTCACTGAATATCCAAAGACTTTGATTGTCTCCTGAGATATTTGCATAATATGCATTTACTTGCGTCGCTAAATTTATATTTCAATCTGCTTGATGATGCCAGTCTTTATTAATCTATTAGTCCAATTTTCCCTCTAGCACCTTCATGTTTTCACATTATATCCAAAAACAGCTGAGTCTAGAAACTCTAAATTTGTCCTATATATTTCTCATTGAGGACTAGTACCTTGGAACAACATGGATCACATAACATCCCTGTAGCAACTACAGCAATTCCTTGTATGGGGAAATATTCACTGTAGTTTTTAGCATCTTTTTACATAACTTAGCAGCTAGGCAATAGCTCATTGTGTATGTCTGGCCATTATGTCCAAAGACAGGACTTCCTATTACTCCTTGGTCCTACCTCACATTTTTGTAGAAATCTGCCTGGCTTATATCTAGGTCAGTGATGCTTTTATTTATTTATTTTAAAAATCAAACTGGGATGACATAGCTTTATACATATGTGGGAGGGTAAGGAGACTTCCCCCCCCCCCCAAAACTACATTAAGAATACTTAAATGATCATCAAAAGAAATAGAAATAACACTTCAGATATTTAGGTTTTTATTATTATTATTATTATTCAGGTAGGTGTGGGGGAGGTGGGAAGAAAGGGGAGAGGAATTCAAGATAGCCCAAGTATGGAAAGTTTCATCTGAAAAAAACCCTTGTTTGCTGGAAGTGATGAGCTATTGCAAAGAGAAATTATAAAGAAAGCTGGAAAGCTGCTTTGAATGTAGTGGGCACTACATTATGTACTATATAAGCAACTGAGGTAAAAGGCTGTACAAGGGTAAAAGCAATTAGGGGAGCTATGAGAGCAAAGCCAGAATGCTTGTAATTTCATGAAAAAATTGTACATTTTTATACATAACTTTCCTGTGCAGGGATTTTTATATTTAAAAGAAAAAATAGTTGGATTACTTCTACCTTTACAATAAAATGGGGAAATGAATACTTACACTTGCTTTTTCTAGCAAAAATGTTTCATGTAATATTAGGTTTCCTGGAAGACATGAAGAGGGAATCCAGAGGGGGAAAAAATAATTTATCAAATATAAACTGATTATTCTGAAATAATTTTGTAAAAGTTCAG